ACACTGGTTCTGAGAGGTGAGGAAACCGGCTTACAGCCTTGCCCAAGCTCAACTTTGAATTTGTGAATCCTAACTTGAGTTTCCAGTCTGAACCACCATGCTGTTACTTGTCTTCTGCCATTTTGCCATTCTTGCTCTCTCTCTTTCTGTGCCTCTGCCTCTCAGTTTCTACATGAATTGGACTCTTCTCTGGCCACGTGTGTGTATGTATCTTTTTCATGCTTTTGATTCCCTGTTTCTGTCCATCTCGCATTCTCTCATGCTATCTCTCGCTGTGTGGATTGCACTCCCTCTTCCCAGGTTTCTGTGTGTGTCTCTCTCTCCTGTTGTTCAGTGACCCTCTGTGCTTCTGCCTCCTCCTCAGGCCCAGCCCCCACTAGCACCTCACACTGTGACTGCTTGTTTACCCTGCTGTGCCTCTTTCAAAACTCTAGCCCCCATGTCCAGAGGGACCATCTGCTTTGTTGGCAGTTGAATCTCATGCTCCTAGCACAATGCCAGTGTTGACACTGAATATATTTTTACTGAAGGAATAACCGTTGAACCTATTGAGAAAGGAGAATGAAAAATTCACAGTGCAAGGGAAGACAGTGGGGTCTCTCCTAGAGGCAGCTGGAAATAGGAAAGGGAAGGAAAACCAAGGGGAGGAAGAGGTCTAAAGTCAAATTTTTCAGTCCTAATAGAGCTTATAGTTAGACGATTCGTCAAAACAGCTTCCTCATGTGTATTTATTGGCAGGGTGACCTAAGAGATTTAAAACACGTGCAGCATAGTGGTCAAAAACCTACTACTATGGGAGATGTGCAGTCAAACCCTAGCTCCTCTTACCCCACCCCTTATCCCTCTCTGGGCCTCATCTCCTTGCCAGTTGAGGGGGAGCAAGAGTAGGACCTGGCAAGTAGCAGGGGGCTCCAAAACATCCATGGAAAATATATATTATGAAAAAAATGGTCCCTGAATTTCAAAGTTTTTTGCACCCAGATAAACATGTATTTTAATCCCACTTTTTCATGAACTTTTAAAGTCCCTTCACAGAGTAAAGACTCATGTGGACACAAGAGCCCTCTTTTACAGATGAGGAACTGAGTCCCAGGCAGGGAAAAGGATGTTCCACAGCGCAGACAGCCACAAACAAGGTCTCCTTCCTCCCTAGACTGACAGAGGAGTCTGGCACCTGACAAAAAGAACTGAAGTCTCCGATGACTCTGGGAGCTTGTAGCAACCTTTGAGGCTGGAGCAAGCACAAGGCACTCTCAGATGTCATGGCAGGACCACGCCTTCTCTCTGCTTTATCATGAAAAGCCAGTGGCCCTCGGGCCTACATTAGTGGCCAGTCCTCAGCCCCAGAGCCATCTCTGGTCTGGGCAGGCATGGGCCTGATGAGACCTATCTCTCCTCAAGCACTAAGAGGCAGCTTTGTGCTGGTAGTTTCTAGGGCCACATAGAAATTACCACGAGCAACGGCAGCTGCCTTTCTACAACTCCAGGCCCTGTGTCTCTAGGGGCTGCATTTGACAATGTCTAACATCCTGGCCAGGGGTCCCTTCCTAGGAACAATGACCCTGGAGCATTATAGGGGAAGCTTCCTGGGCAGAAAGAGATGAACAAGGAGAAGTGCAGACTATTCAGTGAAAATCAAATAACACGAATTTTTTTTTAATGAAAATAAGATATTAGTTAGGATGAAAGAATTATTTATAAACTATAAAAAAAACCAGTTTGATAATGACCAAATACAGTTTTACTCTGGAACTTCTTGATAAGGAGGAACCAGGCCAGTGGAATAAAGCAGAAGGGAAGTGTATGTGCTGGGAAAAAGCCCTCGTTAGTATGTCCTCACCAGGGTCCTCTCAGAGCTGAGGCCAGGCCCAGAGCGGGTCTCTGACCTGGCTATGGGCTCTGCCTCACTGTTCGTCCTTACGAGCCAGACACTGGCCACCTTCTAGCTCCAGAATGTACCTAGATGGTGTAGTCCTCTGGAATGTGAGGATGGCGCAGCTCAGCAATCAGCCTCAGTAGGACAAGGGGCCTGCGTTGCTTCTCAAGGGTCTGTTAATGAAGCCCTGTGCCTGTGATCCCGGGAATTAGGTAGAACACCATGTCATGGCCTCCATGAGCTCCTGTGGAAGCTAACTGGAGTTCAACTACGTAGCACAGAACCTGGCACACAGCACACCCTAGCTGCTACAATCATCGGAACTGCAGCCTCGGGCTCGGGCTGACTCTCAAACTCAGTTGTAAGTGAAAATAGCTTGTTGGTTCCATCTGGGTCTGCTCACGACATACCCTCAGAAACTAGATTCACTTCCTCCATCCCAGAGGGACATAAATCCCTGCCCACCTGTTTGGAGGGCTGTGGTGGACCTCAAAGACCCCCGACCTCATCTTTCCAAATGTGAAAATGTGAGCAGCACCCAGAACAGAGGCTACAGCAGAGTATCCAGCCCAGGATGGGAAGAGGAATAGGAGAAAGGGAAGGAACCACCACCTAAGCCCTAGGTGCAGGCTCCTCTTTCTTTTTTTTTTTTCCTTTCTTTTTTTGGAGAGGTTTTCACTATAGGGCCCGTGCGCTCGCCAGACAGACAGAGAGAGACAGAGAGACAGAAAGCGAGAAATCACCCCCCAGGGGGGATAGCCACGCCACAATCCCTTTTCCTCCATTCTCCTCTCGGGATCTTGGGCACGCACGTACACGCACCCGGGACACAAACCATGGTCGACTACGTGGGAGTCCAGTGGCACAGCCATTACACTAACTGCTGGTTCCCTGCAGGCTCCTCTTTCTTCATCCATAAATAGTTCTTGGGTGCTACTAGGTACTGGGAATGTAGCATAAGCCAAGGCGGCTGTGTCCTCTTGGAGCTCAAAACTTACTTTACCAAATATGGGGAGGGATCTGGTCAAGAGGCTCCCTGGAGTCTCTCGGCTTAAAAATGAGCTTGACCCCACTGTGCTGTCCATCTGTCACCTAGAATAAGACAGAGCCACTGACATCCTGAAGGGACCTGGGACTACCCAGTTTGTGAACCAGAGGGGAATTCCAGGTCCCCGAGCAGGCAGCTTTGAGAAATTGCAGCCACAACCACTTCATAAAAGGCTTGCCTCTCAAATGGTAAGGCCACCTTGGCAGCCATATTACCCTCCAGACCCAACTCCAGGGATTCCCAATGATCAGCTGGCAGCCACCCATACCACTGAACACCTGCTGAAGGGACTGCCCTCTCTGGGCCTCACTGAAGAAGGTCTCTATAGGACTGGCCCTGTGCTGGGGCCAAGGGACACAAGCCAAAGAAACCCTGTCAAACAAATCTTAAAGATATATATATATATATATTTTCCTAATCAGAGGCCACATGTATGAGAGAGAGAGAGAAAGTATCCCCTACTATGTGAGTCATGCCACAGTCATTTTCCCTCCATTTCTCCATCTGGTCAGGATTTTGACCATGCATACACATGAGCCCTGTATGTTTTTCAAGCCACCAGGGCTGGAATCCCAATCATGGTCAGCCATATGGGATCTGGCTCCGTATGCACAGGGTTTAATTATTGCACCACTGGCTGGCCCAAGAGGAAAAAAAATAAATTAATCTATAGACATGCAGAGTAAGTCTACTCTTTTCAAGTCTAAAATTGAATGGAAAAACTGGACCATAGAAATGAGATACTGAGAAAGGTTTGCACAGTTCAGCTTTTATTAAAATTAAACAAAAAAACAAGGGAAAGTAAAAAGTGATTCTTGTTAAAATAATACATTTGAGGAAATGTTTCTTCAGCTGTCACTGTAACTGATCAAATTTGTGACAAGTGTTCTTTTGTAAGATATATAGTCCCGAATATCCATGCAGAAAATACCAGATCAAGGAACTTACCTATGCAACAGGTTGTACAGGACGTCAGTGATCAAGTCTGCTTACAGCCACCACAGGGACAGAGCACCCACGCAGACATACACATTCAGTATCATGAGTTTTCTTTCAGAGAAAGTATTCTATACATAATATACAAATTAAACAAAAAGCCCAATGAAGAGACTTTATTGCCACTGAAAAGGGGGGAAAAAATCAGTTACAATGTCAAAACCAAAGGTAAGAACACAGCACTAGGGCAATTTGTTTCTGCAAATGCCATAGTCCCCAGCATTCCCATGGTGGCTGATGCTGTATCCACAAGTCACTGAGTCCCATGACAGAGGTTACACAGGGGCTGTGAAGTTGTGATTGTCCACTCTGGAAGAAGTCTCTTCCTTTCCCAAATGTTGGAGGTGCTGCTGGCTCTCCTGGTTGGTCAGTAGATACACAACACAACTGAACATGAGGGGCCTAGGACTCTAAATAGTGCAAACACTTAAAAAAAAATACATTCCAACCTCCTTGCTTCTCTAGGCAAACAGAGCCTTTACAATTCCAGCTAACTAGAATATAGGTTTGTTCACCCTCCCAACTAGATCCAACTAGGTGCAAATGGGGAGCATGGAGGCAATTTAAATGGCACCTGTCCCAATAATAATAATAAAAAATAAAGATTTTTTTTAAAAAAACATGAGGCTAATGGCAGATAAATACACAAAACAGAACCTGGACTATAGATGCAGCTCTAGAAACAAGTTGTAAGCAGAGTGTAAGCATCTGCAAAGCACATGCTTAACACTATATTAATGCGGATCATGAGTATTGACCCCTCTTGTAGAATTCAGAGACAAGACGCTTCCAAAAGGATATCATCTAGATGCAAAGGCTTTGCACTGTTGAAAGCTTCAGAAGAGCGAGGAGACAGAAGAGGATGAGGAATGGACTTCTAGACCTAAGAAACACTAGAAGGATGCCCAGAAGGGCAGACCTTTCTCTGGGGCTTCTCCATGACACAGTGTACCAGGCTCAGTGTCAAGCAGTGAGAGCCACCATGAGATGGGCCAACCTGGCCTATTTCCCTGAAGGAAGCAGAGTTAAAAAAAAAAAAAAAAAAAAAAAAAAAAAAAAAAGATAAGCAATATAGGTGAATAAGTGTTGAGTCAAGCTTAACATTAGTCTCTAGCTATTCAAGAAACATCCACAACTGGGATTTTAAATGAAGCAGTCTCCCTTGAATATGATATAAAAAAGGAAATTCCATGTGAAAAAGATTCATGTACCTGGAGCTACTGAAAAATCCATTTTTGGAGGATGAGAAATAAAGAGAGAAGATAGCTGCAGGCATGAACTATGTTTGAGAATGAATGACATACAGAACGTAACATTTCATAATCACAGACAATAAAAAGCAATTCAAATATATCTTGAAAATTATCTTATAAAAATATCTACATTAAAATTTTAGCCTGAAAGCTATAGCTTCAATTTTATAAAAAGGCAATCTTTGAAAAGATCTGGCTCAGAAATATACAAACATTACACAACAGATATCAAAGTAAGATAGCTTAAAAAGCATCTTAGGGGATATTGCAACTGGCTTGTCATGAAATAGAATTAAGAATTCTCATTGCATAGCAGAAAATGAGGTCACTTTCATTTGCATAATACTGCAATTTTTTAGATGGAGAGATGCCATTGGGTACTTACGAGAAATAACTTTGGAATTCAGAATCCAACTTCTATGTTGTCCAAATCAGAATCCAAGTGGTGTCTAAGCTGCTACTAACCTTGGGCCTCAATTCCATTTCACCACTGTAATCAGATTTTAGATATGCCACTGGCAAAGCTATATTCACAAGCAGTTGTGGCCACCCTAACAGGAGTGGAGGGGGCAGGTTTCATCCACCATGTGACCAGCACAGACTTGAAAACAAATCTGTTGTGTAGAAAGTCACTGTGGAGAAAGAATTGTACCTGGTGATGAAGAAACAGCAGTTTTTGGATGGCATCTATGGACAACTAGAGTAGATTGGCTTTTTGGTGATGACATACCAGTGTTCTAGTCCCCCCGAGAAAGTACACATGAGGATGGAATGAACATGGCCTCAGCAGCACAACCAGCAGAGGCAGAGTTTCCCAGAAGGATAGGTCCAATGGCAAAAATCGAAAAGCAGAAAACATGGCTGGCTAGCTTTCAGGGTAAGGACCCTTTATGGGAAGACAACACACAGAAAATAGCCTTCCCTACATAAGCATGAAAGTCCAGCTTCTTAGTGGTTGGGGAGAGGATGAGGAATTCACCTTTCATCTGAAATCAAGAGCTTGTACAAATAGCATATGTCAGATCCCAACTCCCAACTTCATAACCTCCACACAACCAAATCAGTCCCAAAACTTCCTCAGAGAGGGAGGGAGGACATGTGTGACAAAAGTTCATTCCATTCAGCTTCTGCTTTAGAGCCAGTGTTCTGAAATCAGTCATCCCTACTGCTTGGTGACATCACAGAATCCAGCTAAAGCGTATTGATTCCTCTGGAGATACTTCTGGGTCCACAAAGGCTGGGCATTTTAACCTCTTCCCAAGGCTATTAAAAATTCTGTGTGCTAAACAGAAGTTTCATCTTCAAAAGAGTTGCACATTTGGTACACAATAAATATACAGTAAATACACTAAGTGCCCAACTAGCTGGGAAGACTTCTGGGTTTCAAGCTGAGGGATAGGTAAAGAAGTGGGGAACACCAATTTCCTGTAGTAACTGCTTGAAAGCAGCCCAGCTACATCAAAACTCCAACATCAGGATTTATAAAGCTCCTTAGCATCCCATAGGTAGACCCTGACATGAGAGTTAAACTTCAGCACCCAAAGTATGAGACTGTTCTCCAGACACACGGCCTCCCTCCTTTATGCCAGAAATCAACATAAGCGATGTGCGAGTTTATGAATAGCACAGCTTTATGCAAATGACTCTATGTGCCCTCAAATACCTACCCCCAGGTGTTTGAAGTTCTATCATCTATCATTTTTACTTGTGATTCAGCGAAGCTCTCATCAAGCTCCTCTTATAAAATATAAGTATCCCTGGGAATGATCTCAGATCCAGGGCCACAGGAGAAGCAAAGGGGGAAGAGGGTATTATAGGGGCTGGGGAGAGGGCACAGACCCTGGAACAGGGGGAAAGCATAACAAAAGGAAGACAAAAGATATCAGATTTGACCATCATCACAAAGTGCCAAGGACCAGCTCCACTTAATATATTCCTTTGAAGTCATCTATCTCCATGTGAATCACACGTGACCCCTCTCAACACAGGAACAAACTCATCCATGCATTTGGAGGGAGAATGACCTTTTACTTATCCTCCAAACTAGAACATTTTTGAGAGCAAAATGGTACTATAAATAATTATGCTTGAATAATAATAAATGAGGACTGTCCTGCCCTGGAAAAAACCAGAAGTAGGATCCCTCTCTGAGGCCGTTATGGGCAAGAACTAAATCCTTGGTTTTTTGGTCTATTTTTTGTGTATTTTTTTTCTCCAGTATGTTACCCAGGACTTCTCTGAAGAGCTAGTGTTCCACGTCAAAGAGGCACAAACTCTCCCAAACCTGGAATCTGTGACAGCAAAGACCAGTGGCCTTGATACGAAGCCTGATCAATTCTCATCTGCTTCCTGAAGAAAAACCCAAAGCAGAGTGGCCAGCGAAGGAACACAAATAACCTGTCTGTTCCCTAGTCCAGTACACAGAGATCATGGCACAGCTTCAAAAACACCCCAGCTTTTCTGCAGTCACAGTAGTCAAGTCATGAACATGGACATGATCGGAGGACTGCCCCTTCCACCGGTCATCTCTAGACATTCCTAACCTCTCCACCTGGACTTCCAGAATACAGCAGCATGAGTAGTCTCAGGGTCCCCATGGGGCAAATCCAGAAGAGAAATTTCTGTGATTTGACTTTTAGCATAGTAAAAGGATCAGTAGTAAAGAAACCCAGTAGACTATCACACATCCCCACCCCCCTAAATGAGTAAAACACCATGTTCTACACATCTGTGTGCACGCGCACACACACACACACACACACACACATACACACACACACACACACACACACACACACACACACCAAGCTCTCTGCTGTCCCTGTAGAAACATCAAAAACGAAAGTTCAAAGGTGCTGCTGGAGCTATCAGGAACCCCACTGCTCAGAGCAGAGGCCAAAGCACCTCGAGGAGCAGGAGGTAGGTCATTGGTATCCACGCTGTGATGGATGACGCCAGTCTGCCAAGTCAGGGGAAGGAAGTTCTTGCACCGCTGCAGACTCTCCCAGCAAATTAAGTCCCATCTTCATGGCCCCGCTATTGCAAGTCACAGACGGCACCAGCTCTTTCCTCCACCTCCTGGCAGTTGAAGTTTGGGTCATAAGGACTTGTGAATTACAGCAACACCTAATGTAAAAGGAGGAGAAAGTTATCATCTTAGCTTCTCCAAAGTTACTCAGAGTACCAGTGAGTTCATGAATCCATGACATACTAAGTCACAGCCAAGGGAAATAAGTACAATCTTTACCAAAATATTCAAGAGTCTGTAGACTCAGGTTTCCAGGAACTATTTTCCACTCTAGTAGCCAAGCTCTGGCAAGATATTTGAGGCCAGCCAACATGATTCAGCAGTAACCCAATGCTCTATAATGCTCTATAAGGTTCACATTCCAAGGTCTCTCTATACATGCCAGGCACATGCATGTATGCCTGTGATCCTGGCTGGTGGAGGCTGGGGACGGATCCCACTGTAAGGACTCTGTTGGGGACGTCTGTCTCCCTCCTTTCCTCTTTTCCTTCCCATAGTCCATGGAAGAAATAAATTAATTAATAATAAAAAAAAGAAAACAAGAAAAGATACACGAATAAATAAACACAGTTCCTCAAATACTACCGGTTAGTGGTCTTCCACATCATCAGAAGGACTCATCTAGTATGCTGTGTTATGACTTCCATTCCCAACCCTAGGACTCAGCTTAGTAACACTCAGCACCCTCACTGGAAACCTAGAGCACCTAAGCTACATAGCTCCAAATCTGTATCTCTCTAAGGGACGAGAGATTTAGGTCTACATTTAGAAGACACAGGAATTAACTGGAAAGAAAAACAGGCTGGCTTCATAGAAGGGAGAAAAACTCAATTCCAATCCTAGTTCTGCTACCAGTCATCCTGCTATAAGGCTCCATTTCCACACTATTCAATGTCATCTTGCTGAAGGACCCAAACTCTCCAGACACATACTTAAGCATTACTGCTTTAATCAAGTTAAACTAGACTCAGCACCTAACTTTCTAAATCAAATTTTGACCCAAAATTTCACTGTAGGCTAGATGTCAGGCTGATTCAGTCAACATCCTTTCTACCTACTGTCCTGCACTACAGATACCAGCAAGTCACAACTTCCATTTCCAGACTACCCTGAAGCTAGGATTGCCAAATAACTCAGTATTAGCCAATAAGTTTATAAATGCAAGTCTTCCAGTGCTGCAAGGTTGGCTTGTCTTTGTCCTGCCCAGAATGAAGCAGCAGCAACTACTAATGAAGCTGGCCAAACAGAAAAAGAAAACTCTGGTCCTTCAGTGATAGTCTGAGCTACCAGGCCAACCCTGGATTTCTTCCTTCCTTCCTTATCTATTCATTTATTGCTATAGGGCATGTGTGCTTACCGAAGGGAGACAGAGAGGGAAAGTGAAAAATCACCCTTCATGGGGGATGGCCACACTACAACCCCTTCTCCTCTGTTCTCTTCTTGAGATTTTGGGGTTGTGCACACACATGTACCCAATGTGATTTTCAAGCCACAGGGTCCAGGACTTGAACTGCAGTTGGTCAAGAATCCAGCACTGTAGCCACCATGCCACCTGCTGGCCCCGCCCCTCCTTTATTTAAACAAGTATCTGTCAAGTTTTCTGGTACCTGTCACTAAACAAAAATCCTAAGTTACAGAGTATCTATAAGAAAATGGTTACTAGAGCCTTATTTTAATATATTCCCACCACCATAACATGTTCTAGTTGAAGATGAAATTGAGATAATGTTAAGGAAAGCCTGAAATACTCCATTGGAGAGATACTGCTAAGACATCCATTTCCTGTTAATTCCTGGATAAAGGTGCAGACATAGATACTTGGAGGCAGGCAGAACCTGAGTCCAGACCCAGACAGACTCAGATGTACTTCCTAACCTTAGCAACCTCTCACCTACACCTCAGGCATTTCTTTCACAAGCTAGCATTTTTTAAAGTAGGCTCCTTGTAATGCTTTTTAATATAAACTTTCTATTTTGATTACAAAAGTAACATATCCTCATTATGGAAAATTTGGAAAATGAAGAACACAATTTAAAAAAAAAAAAAAGAAAAACCTTTAATCACTTCATACACACAGAAGCAACACTGTCTCTTCATAATACTTCCTGGCTTCTAATAATAATCACAATCATTACCGAAGGGGTGTCTAGTGGTAGGCAGGCATCGTGCTAAGAGCTTTACATGTATTACCTTATTTCATAATGCCTTAAGAGGATCCATCTAATTTTATTCCCATTTTACAAATAAAACAATAGAGGTTCAATTAGATTGAATATCTGGTCCAGAGACAGGGTTAATAGTAGAGGTGAAATTCAAATCCAGATTTGACTTCAAAATCCACTTCCAAAAGCAGTAGCTATTCAAACCTACCCCACAGGGGACTAAGGCTAAGCTCACATTGTACATACAACTTTATACCCTCCTTTTTGAACCTAATAATCTGTCACTAACACCTTCTTATGACATTAAAGATATATTGACTGGACTTGCTCTATGGCTTGGTATATAAGGCAGCCAGATTCCACATGGCAGACCATGCAGTTTGAGTCCCGGAACCCACAGCTTGAAAAACATGCCAGATGTCTGAGCATACATGCCCAAAATCCTGAAAGAAGGGAAAAAAGAGGCGAAGGAATTGCAAGGTGACTATTTGCCATGGGAATCCTCTCCCTCTCTCTCTGATAAGCACATGTACTCTCTAGACAAACCAACAAAAAAAAATCTACTCTATAAATATTCCATAGATTAACTGTTTATCTTCTGCCAGACATTAAACAGTTCTTGTTCGCCATTATAAATAACAGTTCAATAAATAACGTTATAAACAAATCTGGGTTTCAGAACATTTCTCTAGATTTTAAAATAATGGGTGCAGTCAATGTGCTGAACACAAAACTGCATGCTTGTTTGTCTCCTTCCCACCTACTTCTGGAGTGGGCAGACAATGAAGAAAGAGACGAAATACTTGGCACATATGTGATTCTGACTGGTCAATCTTAACCCTTCTCATCTCGTCTAGGCACACATGGAAACAAGGGGGAATCTCTCACTTAAATCACAGCCTCATCCTAGAAAACGCTCTACTCTTCCCACTGGAGCTTCCAAGAGAAAATGATGGTGCTGGTTTTAATAATTACCCATGAGAACAGAATCACTCTGAGACCAAAAGGTTTTCTTTCTTTCTTTTTTTTCTTTTTTTTTTTTTTTTGATAGAGGTTTTTGCCTTAAAGCACATGTGGCTGCCAAAGAGCCAAAATGTTTCTAAAATCTTTTATATTTAGCCAAGATCAATGTGACAAAGTAAACCCTAAAAGAGGATAAAGGGAAAAACAAAACAAAACAAAACTCCATTGCAATGGAAGCCCTGTGTTTGAAAGAAAATCCCTATTAGCCAGAATGGCACAATCTTCTTTTGCACTGAAATCCAAATAAGATGGAAGGGACGGACTTTTCTAATGAAAAATGGGCATAAGAATTCCATTGAGTCATGATGTGGATTAAATGAGATAATGACTGTAAAATACTTAGGATAATACCTGACATGTCATGAATACTCAATAAATAAATGTTAATTCTACTATACTTGTTTCTGGTAAACTAGACACAAGGAGCTGGACTACATCGTGGATATATATTTGTTTATCTCTCCATAGACCCCCAAACTCAACAGTACCAAGTGTGACACTGCTCTTCCACCCCACCCCAGTACTTCACCAAAGCACTTCCCAACACACAGTCCCCATGAAGAAGTTTCCATACCAGCCTTAGGCTTACTCCCCTCTCTCAGCCTCTTGCCCCTGAGCTGAGGTAGTACAAAGGGCATGGGTATATAAGTCATCTGATAGAAAGTGGACAAATATAAAGATTTATTGCTGGGACCAGCAGTTAGCGTAATGGCTATGTTGCTGGACTCCCATGTAGTCGACCCCGGTTCGAGTCCTGGACCCGTTGGCTTAAACTTATGCCGGGTGCATGCCCAAGATCTTGAGAGGAGAAAGAAGAGGTTGTGGCATGGCCATCCCCCCGGAGGGTGATTTCTTGCTTTCTCTCTGTTTCTCTCTGTCTTTCTGGCAAGTGCACATGCCATATAGCAAAAACCTCTCAAAAAAAAAAATATTTACTACTATGTGAACCAAGCCAGACTATGAAAGAAAAGCACCGAAAGAGAGACACTGTATGTCCCCACTCGATATATACCAAATGTCAGCACTCTATTGCAGAATAAAAACATGGAGAGCAATGGTAATACTGGAGACAGTGCAAGAGGAGGGTAGGAAATGGGGGAGGGTGAGAGGGAAGGTATCAAGCAGGAGAAGAAAGAAGCAAAACATCTAAGGGACCCAAAATGGAAAGAAATCTGTTGATTATAATATGTATAGTAATGTCTTTGACTGGACTGATATACAGTGTATTTATCATGGGAAAATTCATTTGGTATGCTGCAATGATACACGGTGATTTAATGTAAAAAGTAAATTAAATAAAAACTAAAAAGAAGTCAGACATCGGGACCAGCAGATGGCATAATGGCTATGTCTCTGGATTCCTATGTAGTCGACCACAATGCGAGTCCTGGAACTGGTGGCTTAAACTCACACTGGGCCTGTGTGCGTGCGTGCCCAAGATCCCGAGAGGAGAGTGGAGGAGAAGGAATCGTGGCCTGGCCATCCTCCCTGGGGGGTGATTTCTCACTTTCTGCCTGTCTTATCTCTTTCTGTCTTTCTGGCAAGCGCACACTCCCTATGGCAAAAACCTCTCCAGAAAAAAGAAGTCAGAGATGGATTTGAATTCTGACTGCTGTTTATTAGCTATATGGCAAATTACTTATATTATCCAAACTTCAGTGTTATCCTGTGCAAAAATGGAAGGATACAGCCCCATACAGTCCATACAGTGCCAGCCTGAAGCTCGTTCAAAAGACAAGAGCAAGGTATGTGTGTACCTAACACACTGCCCCATTGGACATAGAGGGTATGCCCAGTGAAGAGCAGCTATTTATTTGTGGGATTGTAACGCACTCTCAAAATTTAATGGAACCCATGTCCTCCAGGAAGCATTCCCTGACTCAGTCAGTTCTCATGAGTATGTCACAGCCTAAGCCCTGTACAGTGCACTCCATTTAGAACTTGTGTCTACATCATTTGTATCTCCCCTGTTTTATGTAGGCAGGTCTTACTTTTCCAAATCAAATTCTAGAAAGTAAGAACTATATCTTAAACCACCTAAGAGTCTGACACATAAACCAGGAATGGCAACGAAATTCTAAAATCTCTTGTGACAACTCAGGTCAGTTTGAAATGGGATCTCTGGAATACTGTGTTAAGAGTACAGGGGGCCAGCAGGTGGCATAGTGGTTAAAAGCACCAGACTCCCACATGGCCAACTGTGGGTTGAATCCTGGGCCTGGAGGCTTGTGCGCTCTCGCTCTCTCTCTCTCTCTCTCTCTCTCTCAATCTGTGTGTGTGTGTGTGTGTGTGTGTGTGTGTGTGTGTCTAGAAATATTAAAATAATAATAATAAATAAAGTTAAATAATTATTTTAAATAAAAGAACTCTAAGGCTACTTCATGGGGGAAAAGAGTGCTAATTATCAGTAGCTGTTGTAGGCACAGAATAAAGGACTGGTGACCACACGATGATTATCTGCCATTTCTGGAAGAGGCATTGGTCCCAAGTTAAGCAAGGTTACATTCCCTCATCCTACCAGCCACTCCAACCCTGCGCTCGCAGTGTTGGAGGCTTCTAGAGAGTTGGAATGGAGATGGAACACACTGACCTGCGTAGCTCCTTCCTGTGCTCATGTTGGTTGGCAACAGCGTCCATTTGTCGGTGACAGGATTGTAGTATTCCACTGAAGCCAAGTTACAAGACCCATCATCTCCTCCAACAACATACAGGAGCCCATTCACTGCACAGACTCCTGGTGATCAAACAGAAGCCACAGGAAACATTATTGTAGGAGCACCAAGAGATCAGAATCAATGGAAAAACAACTCTGGACAGCCCTGGAGCTACTTCCCTTTATAGCAGCAAAATGAAGACTTGGCTGTACAGGTGTGAACTGGCTCAATGGACAAGAGCCACTGGGCACTGAGGACCCCTTCTTTCTAGCAAGGTCACTTCTATGATAAAGGAGTTTTCATTACTACATGTCCCACAGAAGTCCCCTGGCTCCCAACCCTGTAAGTATGCAGAACACTACGGGCACAAGCCCCTCTGTATCCAAACACTGCCCACAGTTCATATAGACTTCCCATGCTTGGCTTCATCTAGGGAATAAGACAATTTAAGGGATTGCACACACACCACTACTGTATGTCAGGGTTTTTTTGTTTTGTTTTGTTTTGTTTTGTTTTGTTCCTGATAAATCCTATGTTCTGTCCATACTCTGAGGTGCCACTGGTTGTGTCTGTGATCCCTCCACAAGACTGGGGTCTCAATTCACACAGTTCCCAGGGACAAGGCACCTTCCTAGCCTAATCTCAGAGTGAGCTGGTTTTCTAACAAGACCTGATGCAAGAAGGAAATGTAATTACTGTTCATCAGGACTTTTAAAAGGCCTTAGTTAAATGCATTGTGTATTTTTCAAAATCAGATGAGGGGACTGACAATGCTCAAACAGTAGTAATTATCAGTGTTGATGAAGATATTCTCAAATACTGGCGAGCGTATGAAATGGACAGCCTTCTTAGATGGTATCCAAAACACTTTTGCTTCCTCTGAGTCAAAAATTTCACTTCCAGCCTTTTATTCTAAAGAAATCATTTTTAAAATATATATCAATTTAGCCATAAGGATCATTTACAATAACCAAATAATTATAGTATAGAAAAGAGAAATGATCAAAATGCTCAATAGTAGATTATTTAAATTATTATATAGCCAATTAAAATACCATATAATAAATGTATTAGTGTATGAAGATGTTCATGAAAGATTGTTAAGTGAGTTTTTAAAGGCAGGTTATAAGATAGTGGTATGGTACAATTTCACGTCGTTATTGAAAAAATAGAAACATCTATATGTGAATGTTTGTATATACATACATTTACAACTATACTTCATCCTGAGACTCTAGATACACTACCTGCCTTAAGAGTTCTGTAATTCCTTGCTCATACGGCTTAAGGCCAAATACCAAGTAATAACACAGCAGGCATAAGCAATGAGTATATCAAAATACTCCCCTCTGTGGACACTTCTAAGTCACTCACAAAGAGGTTTAAAAACTAGATAATATGAGTAGGAAAGAAATAAACCATCTGAAAGTCATCTGTTTGTCTTTGCAGCTTGAAAGCTGGGTCACACCAGTACTTTCCAAGAGCAAGAAGACACAGCAAGTTATACCAACACAGAACATGACCCACAGGGTAAAGGTCTAAAAGAAAATACCTTAACAGGGGTGTGAAGCCCCAGGAAAAAAAAAAAAAAAAAAAATAAACACTCCCGGGGAAATCGCCCCTATCGGAAGGGCAAAGGGAACGGGAGG